GGTAGGGGAACAGTTGGGCTTGGTGACCTGAAAGGGCTTTTCCAACCTAAACAATTCTAACAACCAAACAGCAAAACCACAAAGGTCGTGGATTCGTGTGATGGGCAACTGAAAAAAAAATACATTTTTTTTTTTAATTTCACTGGATAAAAAAAGAGAAAAAAAGCCAACAACAAACCTGAGTACCTTGCCATATGAGCCTCCTTCCCATCAGTAGGGTCTCCAGGAGTGAGGCTCATCTCGCCTACCTTTTGCCACCTGGTCCTGGGCTCCTGGGGTTTATTCAAGGCTTCTGCTGCCGCTGAGCCATCCCACAGCGAGAGAAAGGGGCCGCGTTATCCCTGGATGCATCTGGCTCTGTTCACTGCTTCTTGCACAGCTAACGGCGGGTAAAACTGAGTTCTGCTCTAATTTCTAATGGTATAATTAAGCCGTGACTAATAAACAAAAACCCAAATCTTACCAGGTGCATCCAATTCCTCTATTTGATCAAGATCTAAAACTGGAGGAAGTAATTGTAATCGCGCGGAGGCTGGGTTTGCCGGGCAGCTCGCTGATTGTAATGCAACCCGAGGTATTAAATCAGGGTCTCTGATTTGGTAAAGCAAAACGTCTTCTCCGCTGACGAGCGAGCGAGGGATAAAGGCGCCCAGTGTTGCTGTGGAAGTGATTGAGTTCGATGCTGGGTCAGGTCTGGCTTTATTTCTCATTTTGATTGAAGATCTGGAAGAAAAGATAAGGAATGCATCCATTATGTTCACGTACGCAACCAAATGGGGAAAGATGACAAGCGCTCACCGAAGATAAATAATCAAAATAATAGAAAGATAAACAAAAAGTAAAGAAAAATTAAAAGGAAAATGAAGAGGAGTTTGTCTGGTAGGGGAATAGCACATAGGAGCAATAAGACCTGAAAGTCAGGAGTGAGAGGGAAAGGTTGAGCAACGGCTAAACGTTGCGATGAGCCTTCGTTGCCCGTGAGAGAGGGGAGAGAAAAGTGGAATCACGTTTGAGAAGCCGGGGCTCTGAGCAGCTCTGACTTGCTCACAAACAAGAGCAAATATTCTCCAGCGAGCACAGCCTTCTCTGGGAGCTACCGGCCTTCGCCGGATCCGGCTGATTCAGGAATGTCCCCAGATATCTCAGTTTCCTTTTTCCTTGCAGAACCAGGTCCATCACAGGGACCTTTCAAAACAAGGGGAGTGTGAGCGGTGCCATCTCCTCTGTATTAAGGGAGATGAAATGTTGCGTGTAGTGTTCGCTGCTGCCGGGCCTGTTGCAGCAGCAGTGCCTTAGATCAGCTTCGCGTTGTCCTGGCCAGTATGGAAAAAGGTCAAGAATTGTCCCTGCACTGGAGAAACCAACTTGTTGCCAAAGCTGCTAATCTGGAGAGAGGAAAAAAAGAGTCTGAATGGGGAAACGCGTTGCGTGTGGAGCCCCAGCAGGTTGGGGCAGAGCTAAGAGCGGGGCTCGGGTCCCCCAGACAGGGATGCTCGGGTCCCCCAGCCGAGGATGCTTGGGCCCCCCAGCCAGGGATGCTGGGGTCCCCCAGCCGAGGACGCTCGGGTCCCCCAGCCGAGGGCACTCAGGTCCCACAGCTGGGCACGCTCGGGTCCTGCAGCCAAGGATGCTTGGGTCCCGTCCCCACCCCCAGCCTGGACCACCTTCACTGATGGAGAGGCAGGTCTGGGTGATGAAAATGCAGGCTATCAAGTTTGGTTTGTATATTCCTTGAGCGCGTATCTTCTAATCAAACTGTGGCAGGATTAGTGAAACAGTCCTGAGACGCAGCTGCTGGTTTCGGGAACCTCCAGCTGACTCAGGCTGTTGCTTACCCTGGATCTTTTCACAGAATCACAGAATCGTAAGGGTTGGAAGGGACCTCAGGAGATCATCTAGTCCAACCCCCCTGCTAAAGCAGGCTCACCTAGAGCATGCTACACAGGACTTCATCCAGGCGGGCTTTGAATATCTCCAGAGAAGGAGACTCCACAACCTCCCTGGGCAGCCTGTTCCAGTGCTCTGCCACCCTCAGAGTGAAGAAGTTCTTCCTCATATTCAACTGAAACCTCTTATGTTTCAGTTTGCATCCATTGCCCCTAGTCCTGTCGCTGGACACCACTGCAAACAGACTGCTTCCATCCTCGTGACTTCCGCCCTTAAGATATTTGTATGCGTTGATGAGATCCAACAGCAAATCTCCAACAGCAAATCTCTGTGCCTTGGGATGCCCAGCCTGAGGACGAGTTTTTGTATTCCTTATCACTCACTTTGCCATACCTCTGCCTCCAAACAACCCGAGTTTTCAGATTATTTTGATTCAAATGCAATTTTTTTTTCTTCTTTTTCCTTTTTACGACCTGTAGAGCCTTCACGAAGGACAACGGTCTTAATGGGGGGCCCTCCTTTTTAGCCATCGTTACTTTTGCCCTTTTGTAGGCTGTATTTAAAATACTCTTTTCTTATTAGCACTGACAAATGACTCGGCTCTGACTTAAATCCTTAAATAGCAGCAAGCGCTGAGGATGCTGCAGAGCGCTGCAGTTTGGGATTTTATATCTTGAACGTAGACGTGACCAGACGGAGTCCAGCGGAGGACCTGTCTGATGGGCACTGCTTAAAATAATCCGGGGAAAGTATTTTTTTATACGACTCGCTGCAATCCTTTCACGTCGTGACTGCACCGGGGTGTTTCCAATCACGGTTAAAGCCTATTACATTAATTAGAGATTCATAGGCATTAAGGTTGGAGGTGACTTCTCACTATAGGTCTAGCCCGCCCGTTTCGGAGCGCTGGTGTTGAGCCAGTCTGCACTGGTCGTCTCCATCTGCCACAGCTGGCAGTTTATATGGATATATATAGTCTATATAGAGAGAGATAGAGGGACAACACATAGAAACAATGCATCGAGACAGTATAGACAACAGCCCCCACCATGGCCAGCGTTGTACAGTACATAGCATTTCACCAGTTCGTTCTGGTGAACATTTTGGCCAGAATAAGTGATTGACAGCAATACATAGGTATAGGTTTTGCGTGGTGATGTATGTCCCATGCTCCCAGACAGCAGTTGTCAGTGAAGACTGAAGAAGGCTGGACATCAAGAAAAATTTCTTTCCTGAAAGGGCTGTCAAGCACTGGAAGGGGCTGCCCAGGGAAGGGGTCGAGTCCCCATCCCTGGGGGGATTTAAAGGCCGGGCAGCCGAGGTGCTTAGGGCCAGGGTTTAGTGGTGGGATGGTAGGGTTAGGGGAACGGTTGGGCTTGATGATCTGAAAGGGCTTTTCCAACCTAAATGATTCTGTGATTCTAGGGTGGGAGGAAAGGTGTTCCTGATGTCCAGCGTAGATGGATTCCAGCTCCTAGGTCTTTGCCAATGAACTTACTCTCTACAGCCAGAAGTCCTTCCCCCTTTGGATAACAATAGATAATAATCCAAGCACTTCTTAATGCTACGCTTGTTTAAATAAAATGAGTTAGTTTGATCTTGAAGATGTTTCAGGTCTCAGATCATTCTTGGAAGTCTTTGCTGAATCAGTTCAAAGGTGTGGACAACTGCAATGAGAACAGTTTTGCCCTAGGGTGCTTGGGCATTGTATCAAAATGTGTTAAACAACTCTTCTTTGACTTGGCAGATTCATACGTAGGCACCGAAAAATCATTTTCTGTCATTTTCCCTAAAACATCGCATTGCAAACTGTTCTTAAATGGGGTATTCACC